CGTGGGGAGCCTTCGGGCGTCCCGCGGCCGCGTGGCAGCCGTCCTCTGTGCGGCCGCGGCGCGTGTGTGGAGCCGCGTCCCCGTGAGCCGAGCGGCTCAGCTGGGTGTCTGGGACGTGGGAGTCGCGATCAGATGCCTGGTGTACCCGGAATAACAACATGATGAGTTCCAGTTGTACCCTATTAAAGTCTTGTTAAAAGGCCTGTCACCCTGTGAGCTCTGTTCTCTGCTCGCTGCCTACACGAATAATGCAAATTCCTTGAGAGGAATGAAGCCTCTGCCTTGCTGAGCTGCTCAGCAAATGACTACTCTTGTCGACTGCTTTGAATAACTATTATCTTAACGAAAATTTAGATGTGTGTAATGCATCGTCTTGGAGATGGTAGTGCTGCAAGTTTCCCGAAACTGTATCGTACAGCTATGTAGCTCGGTAAGAAAGAAGACACCCCCAAAGCATATATTTGTATGTTTTTGCGTTATCGTAGTGTATTGAACTTGTGTCCAGTAGCCACGTGGGGTTGAGACGCGTTTTAAGTGTAAAGTCTAGATTCCCACGATTTAATACAAAAATGTAAAAAGTTTAGTAATTTCTTTACGTTGGCGGTATATTTTTAAACATTTTTGATTTGATAGATTAAGTTAAAAGATATTCTAAATTTCATTTATTACTTTTGAGCTGTGCCTGCTAGAGAATTACAGGCCATGGCTCGTTGCATTTCTTTTGGATAGTGTTATAGATGTTCTAGTGGTGAACAGAGACTCTCCATGGTTCTCATTTGCTGAGAAACCATTGAAGAAAAAATGAACACTTTCTAAGTCTGAAGATAAGGACCTAAATTATTGCAAACTTCTACCTCCTCACAAATTTTGCAATGTCTCCAGCATCTGAAAGCGTCCCAGGGCTGTTTGAAGAATAGTAGGGATACCATTACCTGTGTGAAGCAGAGAGCCCTTAGTTTTGGAAGGCAGAACTTTGTGAGGAGGAAATAGATAGATTTTACCCACTATTAAGGAACTGGTAAGGGTCTAAGATAGTACGTGACTGAAGAACTTCTGAGTCCGCATTTATTTATTTATTTATTTACTTACTTTTCTCTCTTCCAGATTCATATTATGTATGTTAGTAAGCAAGAAGCATCTGCATTGTATGTTAGATTTCCTCAGGGTAGTTACAGACACATTGCCTTTTCCAGGGCCATCTTGTACAGCCTAGGCGGTAGCTCGAACCTAGCAGCCTCCCTGGCCAGCAGCTTCACTGTCACTTCTGTCATTTTCATTTCACCCTGGGTAGCTGATCCTTTCTACAGTTCTTGTCTAAGATGGAAGCTGACAGACCTGGCACAGGAGCCAAGCCATCTGTTCTTGACTCCATTCCCTCACAAAATGAAAAAGATTCATTAGTTCCTTTCTAACTCAAAAGGTCTGTGATTTTTGTATGTGTTCCTGTCACAATTTTGTGGGTGCTAACAGTATTTTACGAGCATAGCATAAGAATGCTGGTTAGTTCGTCACTGAGAATCATGTAAATCAGCGTTAAAATGACATTGTCTTCGTTTCAGTTCTGCTGCTGTGATAAAAAGACTTTGACAGAAGAACCCTCAGGGAGAAGAGTCCATTTTAGCTAGCTTTCCAGGTGACACTCCTTCATTTTGGGGACATCAAGGTGGCAGGGACTTGAAGCAGCTAGTAACTTTACTTTTGTAGTCAGGAGCTGAAGTCAGTAAACTAAAGTGTGCATGCTCACTGCTCAGCTAGCTTTCTCTGCTCTCTGACAGTTCAGGATCCCCTGTCTACTGGAATAGTACCACCCATGTTGTATTGGTCTTCCTATTTCAATTCATATAATCAAGATAATAAATCCCCTTTAGACATGCCCACAGGTTAATCTAATCTACACAATCCCTCATTGAGATTCTCTTATTGGGTGATTCTAGATTATGTTAAATTGGCATTCAAACTAACCATCACAAACAGGGATCTTAATTGTTCTTGAGGTATATTTCCTGTGTCTCAGGTCGACTCTGAACTCTTGATCCTCTTACCTCCACCTCCCAAATCCGAAGATTATAGTGTGTAAACCACTTTACCTAGTTTACGGTAACTCTTGAATTTTTGAACTGTATTTTCCTGTATGTAACCTAAGTTTTATTTTTGTTTTACCATATATACTTTGTATCAAGAATAAAATTATAGTATGGGGTCCTAGATTAAAGTATGTTTATATAAGTGTTGAGTTCTTTTTTTCTTTTTCCCCAGGGACATAGCAAGAATCTCAAGACATGTGAATATTTATTAAGGAGCTGCTTCTATTTGTGAGGATATAGGTATGCCTATTATGTCTTCTGTTTGTGAGGATATAGGTATGCCTATTATGTCTTATTCTTGGGCAGTGGTCCTCAACCTTCCTAATGTTGTGACTCCTTAATACAGTTCCTCATATTGTGGTGACCCACAAATATAACATTATTTTTGTTGTTACTTCATAACTGTGATTTTGCTACTATTATGAATTGTAATGTAAATATTCTTTGGAGGTAGAGCTTTCCAGAGGGATCACAAACCACAGGCTGAGAACCATTGCTCTAGGTGGTATCTAGTTTTTCTTTTTGCTGTCTTAGCCAGTTCCTATTATATGATTTGCTTCCTTCTCATTTTTTGGTTTTCAAATTCTTTTCTATTGAGTGTGTCTGTTATTAGAATGCAGTTTTGTTAGAATAGGATTTATCTGTCCCCGTTTAACACTGTATTCCCATAGTTGAAAACAGTGCCCAAAATATACAAGGTGCTAAATAAACAGTTACAGTATAATAGAATACAGCATATTAAAGTAATCTCCTTTTAGGATGCTGTTCTTTTGGATCTTCTGTCACTAGAACCAATTATAACAGTGAGAGCGAGCTTTGTTCTTGGCTTAGAGCCAGGTTCCACTAGGAAAAAGAAATGTTGATTCTTCTGGGGTAGGAAAGGATGGAAGCATGAGGAAATAGGTAAAACGTTGAAATAGCTGTTGTGAGAAGTGTTCAAGGGCCCCCATGCATTCATTAGACAAATATTCACCATCTACTAAGTGACAGTTCTATGCTTTGTACTAGAGGTACAATGGAAAACAAAAGATATTTCAGCTTTTGTCTTGGAAGACATAATCTAGTAGAAGAGACTCAAATGGATTAAAGAGAAAGAATACTATTCAGTGAGAATATATTTCTAGACAGGAGAATGTGGTTGATTAAAAGAGTGAGGGGAATGTTATAGCCAGGGCGAACATCATTTGCAAAGATAAAGTGATTGGGAATTGGGGTGGATTCCAGGAATTGAAGAGAAAAAAAAATGTAGCTAAAACACAGCAAGTAGAATATGCTAAAAGGTTAGAACAATAGGTAGAGGCTGAAGGTATTTACAATTAATTGGCAAATTATTTGTGTAAACTGGTTGCTTTGTATAACTGGTGTTATACGATGATTATTCTGGTATGGAGGGATGACTCAGTATAGTGCTTGGTAAACACTCCTGAAGACCTTAGTTTAGAATCTCAGTGAAGGCCCTGTGGTGGTGGTGCACGCCTTTAAGCCCAGCACTCCCGGGCCTAGGCAGGCGGATCCCTGTGAGTTCAAGGTCAGCCTAGACTACCAGAGCTAGTTCCAGGACACACTCCAAAGTCATAGAGAAACGCTGTCTTCGAAAAACAAAAACAAAAACAAAAAAAAAAGAATCTCTGTGAACATGGTGATGGACCTGTAATTTCAGCAGTGGAGAGGCCATGGAGAGCACAGAAGGGTTACTTGAGTTTGCTGGCCAGCTAGTGTTGCCAAATAAGTGAGCTCCAAATTCAGTAAGAGACCTTGGCTCAAAAAATAAAGTGTATGATTGGATGGGGTGGGTTATCTTGAAAACTAAAAGGCCAAGAATGGAAGGAGTAAGAAGGAAGAAATGTAGTTGGGAAGAGTAGGGAGTGATTATGATCAAAATACATTGTGTGTATGAAATCCCCAAAGAATTGCTAGGAATATTATATTAAAAATGAGGTAGAGGGTGATAGAAGACATCTTGTATGTGTGGGGTTGTGCCTGTGTGCGTGTCTGTACCACGTTTGTGACTGGTACCTGTGGAGGTCATAAGAGGGTAGGGGATCCCTTGGAAATGGAGTTACAGGTAGTTGTTAGCCACCACATGAGTGCTGGGAATGGGATCTGGGTCCTCTGGAAGAGCAGCAAGTGCCCTTAACTGCTGAGCCATCTCTCCAGCCCTGATAGAAGACATCTTAACATGACCCATGCCCTGCATATGTTTGCATTTTGCACACACACCTGTATACATGAACACATAAACCATGTATGCTCACCCCAATGAACAACACAAAGGTTATTCTGACTTTTAAAGGATCGTAATGGAAAGATGATTTAGAGAATTGCTGAGCTAGTATCACAGACTGGAAATTATATGTACCTTGATTTCTCATGCAGTTTATGGTACCTTGAGAATGTCTTCAGTGTAGTACCTTGAGTTGACGCGGGAAAGAGGTAAATAATTAGAATAATCTAGGAATAAGGAAAAGCAAACAATAAACTGGAAAAGGAAATAAGTGAAAGTGATATTAAGGATATAATTGAAATGACTGATCCTGAGCTCCAGAAGTGTTAAAGAATAAAATAATTCCAGTATGAGAATTCATAAATGTTTTTTGCTAATCATTAAATTATATGAGAGTGGGAGAGATGGCTTAGCAGTTAAGAGCACTCTGCCCTTGCAGAGCACCTGAGTTCATTTTCTAGAACTCACATCAGGTGGCTCACAATAGTTCATCACTCCTATCTTTAGGAAGTCCAAAACCATTTCCTGGCCTTTAAAGGCACTGCACACATGTGCATAAACACTCAGACATGCATATATACAATACTTAAAAATAAAATCTTTTTAAAAGTTAAGTATTTATCAGAATTTGATATGTACAATGTATTTTCACCATATATACTCCCTACACCTCACAAATGTATTCCTTCCTTCTAACACTTCTTAAATTCTTGTCCTTTTATTGTTTTTTAGATCCCTCCCCCGAGTTCAATTTGTACACTTTGTTTTTTTAAAAGTTAAATATATTTTTGAGTCTATAAAATTCTAAATTGAGAATTCATATCTAAAAATATTTACAAGATTAGGAGGTAAAGCAATTATGTGTGAGTTGAATACTTATCAAAGTTTATCTTTATTAGGAATGTATATTAGTCTATACCTGATATTTTGAGTAAATATAGGTAAAACCTGGTTGTAAAAATGTATTTGTAGTGAAATTTATAAATATTATGTTAATTTTGTATCCAGCCTTTTAATTCTTGCCAGCCACTTAGAAATACTTAATATTTGCATCTAGTCTTTATTATTCAAATAAGATTTTTAAACTATCCCATTTTTAGTCAAAACTTACCAAACCTTATAAAATTAAAAACTAAGCGCCTCTAATGGTCACATAACTTATTTTTCCAGAGTAAGTGTTATATGTGTACTGCTACTCATAAACAGATAATTTTTAGGCAAAACACAATAAAACACTTTTTAAAATAATATATTTGGGGCTGGAGAGATGGCTCAGTGGTTAGGAGCACAGATTGCTGTTCCAGAGGTCCTGAGTTCAATTCCCAGCAACCACGTGGTGGCTCACAACCATCTGTAATGAGATCTGGAACCCTTTAAAAAATAATAATAGTAATAATATATTTATTTTAGCATATATTAAAATATAATTATACACTATACGCATGGTTGCTGAAACTACTGATGAACTTAAAAGTTGATGTTCTGATTTTAAAAAAAGTCAGTTTAAAGAGAAATATTCAGTAGCATTATAAGTGGTCTACGAATGAGTAAAATTTGGGAAATACTGATCTAAATAACTTTATTATTGAAGGGTGAGAAAGTCATCCTAAAACTAATTATAGCAAATCTAGGATAAATTTTGTAACTCTTTTGTACATTCCAGTTTTTACTCTGCTACAAAAGCCTGATTCTTATTGTTGAAAGTTGAAAAAAGTCCTTGCGTATTACACTTCACATTTGTGTGCTTCATTATATTATACACATATATTAGACAAAAGTGAAGTAACTAGCACTCAGTGGCTCTCTGTGGTTAGAAATTCCCTTGTTTGCACAAATATAGAACATTCACCATTGAAGAGTGTTCCACTGAGTGCTGCTCTAACCATAGCTTAGGAGTGTGATTCGTGCTACTTTTAAGTTTTCCCCCTTCACTGGAATGGTACTTATTAATTTCCTCATCATAGTAAAGTTGTTATAACCCGAGGTTACATTGAAGGTGCCAGTAACTGTATAATTAAGATAATTTATCATGGGAAATAAAGCTGGGATAGGGTTGTCAGATTCCTACTAGATCACTTTATTGTAGGAAGTGGTTACTCTTCTTTCTCCATTTTTAATCAAATGAATATTTTCTTAAATCTGTAAGTGGAGAGAAAAATACAAATATAGAGATAAAAGAAGGTTTTTGTGTAGAGAATTCAACTTAAGGAATGTGATTTGTTGATATTTTAAACCTTATTTTTCAACACTTTCAGTGAATGGACCTGATTGGACATTTTGCGTCCATCAATAAAGATGAGCGGTACCAAGCCTGATATTTTGTGGGCACCACACCAGGTTGATAGATTTGTTGTATGTGACTCAGAACTGAGCCTTTATCATGTGGAATCGGCTATGAATTCAGAACTTAAAGCTGGATCATTACGTTTATCTGAAGACTCTGCAGCTACATTACTATCAATAAATTCAGATACACCCTATATGAAATGTGTTGCATGGTATCTCAATTATGATCCTGAATGTCTCCTAGCAGTTGGACAAGCAAATGGTCGAGTTGTACTTACAAGTCTTGGTCAAGATCATAATTCTAAGTTTAAAGATTTGATAGGAAAAGAATTTGTCCCAAAACATGCTCGACAATGCAATACCCTTGCATGGAATCCACTGGATAGTAACTGGCTTGCTGCTGGTCTGGACAAGCACAGAGCTGACTTTTCAGTTCTAATATGGGATATCTGCAGCAAATATACTCCTGATATTGTTCCCATGGAAAAAGTGAGACTTTCAGCAGGTGAAGCTGAAACAACACTATTAGTAACAAAACCACTGTATGAGTTAGGACAAAATGATGCTTGTCTATCTCTTTGTTGGCTTCCACGAGACCAGAAACTTCTCCTTGCTGGCATGCATCGTAACCTAGCCATATTTGATCTTCGGAACACAAGCCAGAAGATGTTTGTAAATACAAAAGCTGTTCAAGGAGTGACAGTCGACCCATACTTCCATGATCGTGTTGCTTCCTTCTATGAAGGTCAGGTTGCAATATGGGATCTTAGAAAATTTGAGAAGCCAGTTTTGACTTTGACTGAGCAGCCAAAGCCCTTGACAAAAGTAGCATGGTGTCCAACTAGGACAGGTCTGCTTGCTACTTTAACAAGGGATAGTAATATTATTAGGCTGTATGATATGCAGCATACACCTACGCCCATTGGGGATGAAACTGAACCCACAATAATTGAAAGAAGTGTGCAACCTTGTGACAATTACATTGCTTCCTTTGCATGGCATCCAACAAGTCAAAATCGAATGATAGTTGTAACTCCCAACCGAACAATGTCTGACTTCACTGTTTTTGAAAGGATATCTCTTGCCTGGAGCCCAATTACATCTTTAATGTGGGCTTGTGGTCGTCATTTGTATGAATGTGCAGAAGAAGAAAGTGATAATTCCTTAGAAAAAGATATAGCAACAAAAATGCGCCTCCGGGCTTTATCAAGGTATGGACTTGATACAGAGCAGGTATGGAGAAACCACATTTTAGCTGGAAATGAAGACCCACAACTCAAGTCACTCTGGTATACTCTGCACTATATCCTTTGTCTTGCTAACTTTTGAGGTAAATTGGGTAAACATACTCTGAATGTTTTGTATGCAAATACAAATTATATAGTCTAAAATTCTGAGGTGAAATCGTTGAAAACTGTTGAAAGTTTTAGTTTGTAGACTGGGTGTGGGAAAGGTGGTCAGTAAAGTGGAACTGTCTTAATTGTATAGATTCTTACTATGGATTTGCTCTTAATTAATTTTAACTGAGATATTTTATTGTGCATAATTACCAGTATTTCCTATGCATTTAAATACTTATGAAACAGTATACAGAAGATATGGATCAAAAATCTCCAGGCAACAAAGGATCGTTGGTTTATGCAGGAATTAAATCAATAGTAAAATCATCTTTGGGTAAGAAAATTCCATTTTATATTTTCAAATACATTTATAACTTTTGGACTCTTGATTCCTAGTTGATTAAAATTAAGATTATCTCAGGACTGTGTACATAAATAAATACCTTTATATAACTCTCTCTTGGCTTTCTGATCAGATATTTTAGTGACTTGTTAGGTATATTGAGTGTATTTATTATATCCAGATGTTTTGTGGAAGGAATGTTGATTCTTTGATGTAATACAGACATTTCTTAAATCTCTTTATTATTCTGTGCTGTTTATTTGAAGACCCACTTTAGGGGAGATAGTATACAAGTGCATTTATGAGATGCTGATTGTTAGTTTGGATTTTATCACAGCATCTTGTGTTTTAAAGACTAAATTAAAAGCTCTCTTAACTGAAGAAGATCCCTTTGATTTTGCTTCCCAAATACTTTCACAAGGTCTATGTTATAACATTAAGTATGGCCTAACTTGAAGAATACCTGAAAGTTCTTGATGAGTAAGTGAAGGAATCAGTTAATGAATAAAATAATGTAAGATTTAAATAGATAAACTATTTACGAATAAAGACACCCTCCTTCCAAAAACAAAAACCTACTTTCAGACTGCTTGCTTTAAGCAGTTGTTCTTACTGTTTTTTTTTTTTTTTGGAGTTAATTATGATAATGTTATATTGTCTCTTAGGGTTCAACCTCCATGCTTTATTAGTCTGTTTCTACTCCATCCAGTTCAGATTCTAGAAGAATAATTTAGTCAAAGCCATCATTTCATAGGACTTGCTTCACCATGCTACTAGCATGGATGCACAGTTAAGGTGCTGCATAGTGGGTTTTCTCTTTGAAGACTTTGAAATTACTTTGATGCACAGTGCTGAAAGATGACTGGAAAGCTTTAGATCTGTTTCATTTGGTGTTTTCCCATTAGAACTACACCAGAAAGAGTAACCTTTATCAGAATGAGTAAGTTTAATGAGAAACTGCCTTACTTATTAACAGAAGTAAAAGGACAGGCATATATCACCATTTATGAACCTGAATATACCTTGGTTTGTGAGTTTAAAAACTGCTGCCACGAGACCCACACTGAAGCACTGGACCAAGCTCCTGAGGTCCAGCTGAAGAGTGGGAGGAATGAGAATGTGAGCAAAGAGGTCAAGACCACAATGGGTTCACCCACTGAAACAGTTTACCTGAAATAGTGGGAGCTCACCAACTTCAGCCAGATTGGGAAGGACCAAGCATGGGACCAAACTAGTCCTTCTGAATGTAGTTGACAGTTGCATGGCTGGGGCAGAGTGAGGGGCCACTGGTAGTGGCACCAGGATTTATCTCTACTGCTTGTACTGGCTTTTTGGGAACCTATTCTCTTTGGATGTATGCCTTGCACGGCCTGGATATAGTAGGGAGGGCCTTGGATCTTCTACAGGGCTGTGTGCCATGCCCTCTCTGATGACTGGATGGGGGTGGAGTGGGAGGGTATGTGGTGGGAGTGGGGGAAGGAGAGGAGTGGGAGCTTGGATTGGTATGTATAGTGAAAAAGGATAATTTCTTTTCTTTCTCTTTTTTTAAAGAGTGTTTTTCTGAGGGATCAAAGCCAAAAAAAAAAGAAAGAAAGAAAGGAAGGAAGGAAGGAAGGAAGGAAGGAAGAGAAAGAAAGAAAGAAAGAAAGAAAGAAAGAAAGAAAGAAAGAAAGGAAAGAAAGAAAAGGAAAAAACTGCCCTCACAAAGAATTAAGTACTATGTCAGTAAAATGTATGGTATTGGACAATGGGCTAAGAGTTCAGAATACAGGAGGAATATAACCAGAGAGCAAGCAGTATGTTAGAACTCCTGATATTCTATGGAATAGATGAAATTGTTGTAAGAACTGAAAGAAATGCCTTAAAGGGGGAACAGTGGTAGGATAGGAAAAAATGGAACCATATATTCATGTAGACAAGGGAAAGAAATCGCTTTCAGTTGACTGAAACAGCTGACAGTATGAAGAGAAGTCATCAACTATACATAATTAAAGACAGGCTGTACGAGGGAGGATAGGATGATAACCAGTGGCAGACTCTAGCGATGAATAGAGGGAGGGCTGTTGCTTTCTTTTCTCCTTCAGCATAAAATTAAGCATGTTTAAATGTTGATTGGAAAAACCATGTTCGTGTGTGAGTGTGGACATGCACATGCTGCTGCACACGTGGAGGTCAGAAGACAACTTTTGGAAGTCACTTCTAGCCATCCACCTTGCTGAGGGAGGGTCTTTCTTACTGTTTATGAACTTCATACTCCAGTCTACCAGCCCATGATGAATTTCCTGTCTTTGTCCCCCATGGAAGTGCTGGGATTCAGATGCATTTCGTCTGGCCTTCTGTGTGAAGTCTAGGGGGTGCAGCTCAGGGTCATCAGGATTGTAGTTAGGACTTAACTACTGAAGCCATTTTTCTCACCCCACTTCCTGTCTTTAATATGGCAGAAGGTTGTTTAATAAAAGACTAGCTGACTTTTCACCCAACACAATAAAGTTTGAAAAAGTTTAACTTTGATCTAGAGAATTTATCTGTTCAAATTGATTTAAAGGAACAAAATAGCTAAGTTTTGTGTTTTTGTTTTCTTAACACCGAAGTTTTCTTATAGTGTATTATTTTATGACATATTTTATCTTATAGTAGATTATTTTATGTATTATATATAGTGTATTATATATTATACACATACGTGTGTGTGTGTATGTGTGACATACAAATGAATATTATCTGATTGGTGATTTGAGACATTTTTATTTTGCATTGGTATTTTAATGTTTGCATATGCTGTTTCCTTTGAAAACATTAATAAAGTATTGATCCTATGAATATGGGCAATATGAGATTCAGTGAAAAGTTTTTCATTTTTGTATTGATATGTATATCATGCATAGATTTTCATAGATATGTTAAAATTTTATAGGTATTAAAATTGTAGTGTAATGATCCATTTGAAATTAATGGTATCATATTTCTTTTGATAATCCTAATTACCTACAGCATAATTGCCAAACTAAGAAAGAATCCCTGAGCTGCCAGAGTTCAATTCATTAAATTAAAAATATTCTATTTAAAAATAAGTGATTTGGGCTGGAGCTGGGAGAATACTTTCCTAGCACGCATGAAGCCCAGATTTAATCCCCAGCACTGCTAACACTGAGTGTGTCTGACACCTCTATAGTCCCAGCTCTTGGAGTGGAGGTAGAAGGCTCAGAAATTTAAGGTCATCTTTGGTTGGCTTGGGCTCCATGAGAGCCTGTCTGGGGGGATGGTAGTTTTTGTGTTACAGTGTTGCTCAGCTCAGCAATAGATTGGTACTTAGCATTTCACTCCCCATCTCCAACCTTTCTACCTTCTACCCTCCACTGCTAACCCCTCCAGGGAAAATCCCTTTTGGCTGATGATATAGCTCAGCAACAGAACTCCTGCTTAGCACATTGAAGGCCAGGTTTAATTCACAACAACACAAAATGATTAATTCAGCTGTAATTATTTAATTAGTTTATAAGCTTACATTACAACTTTTCCATAAAGCAAAAAGGTATAGTTTAAAATACTGACATAGATAATATTTTAGACTTGTCACAACCCCCCATCACATTGATAATCATACAAGTTATTTAAAAGTATGAATTTTAGGTAAATTGGAAAGCTTAGACCTATTTTTATTCCTTGTAAGATGTTTAGACTAAGTGATTTTTATTTATATACATAGATGTACATATATCAAGTTTAACTTAAAAGTGATAACTAAGTTTTAAATATTTTTCTTTATATAATTTTTGTTTGTTTTGAGACAGGGTCTTTCTATGTAGTCCTCACTGTCCTGGTCACTATATAGACCAGGCTTGTCTGGAACTCGTAGAGATTCATTTGTCTTGGCCACCATGCTGGGATTAAAGTCATGCACCACTACATTCAGCTATTTTTCTCATTCTAATGCTTTTTTTTTTAATCCTTTGACAGATCAAATGTAGTCAGTTTTGGATCATTTGCTACTTTTCTCTAACATTAATTGTCTCATTGTCTCCTTGAGTCACTACTTAGTAGTACTTAGGTACTATTCAAAGTCTCACAAAGCTAAGATGAATGTTGTGGCTCAGTGTATTTCCTTCTAGAGTTAAGAATATTCTTCCAAATTCATGTGATTGTTGGTCAAGTTAAAAAACTGCAGAAGCAGGTTGAAGACACATGTAGGAGATAAAGTTCCTAGGAATGGGAAAGAATTGGATCTAGATAAGATTTGGCTTTGAAAGAAATATGCACATATCCTTTACTAACCAGAGTGGGGGTCATTTTTAGGGTTTATGGAACCAGAAGCGGAGAGGCTGAGGATTCCTTGTAGTTGTAGAACTAAGCTGTGTCCTTTTTTCTAGTTGGTTGGTGGCCAGGGCCTACCCATAGCTCCTGAAGGTTGTTTACAGTTCTTTGCTTCCCACAGACTCTCTTACCAAGATGGCAGCTCTGACTGCTTTAAGACCAAGAGGTCTTTCCTACTGCAACTCTTACTTATAGACTCTCTTTAAGGGTTGGCCTGATTGACTTAGGCTTAGACTACATAACTGCCCAGTTGAGTAAGGACCTCAGTTAGCTCTATCTGTACAATTCTTTCTTCTCTGCTATAATTTGTTGTCTAGAAGCAAGTCGTAGATTCAGTTTAAATTCCAGAGGAGGTGATTATTCATTATGTGGTTCCCGAGCTGTAGGAATCCTGGGGCCCTACTTCATTCAGCCTACAGTCAGTGGATTGAACCTGCCCCCCACCCACACACCTTCCCTGCACATAGGGTTTCTCTATGTAGCCTTGACTGTCCTGGAACTAACAAACCATGCTGGCCTCAAACTCACAGAGATCCACCTGCATCTGCCTTCTGAGTGCTGGGATTAAAGGCATGTGCCACTACTACCTGGCAAGCTGATTGAATTCCAAAAGCTCATCTATTTTCTATTGACCAAGTTATTTATATAAGTATCATATATATATATATATATATAAAATTATATATAAATATATATACATTTTACATATTGCACATAATTACATATACATATTACATATAATTATATATAAATATACACATTATATAAATGTAATATATACATAAATATATAATTGCTGTAAGTTACATGTGTAAAATACTAAATACTAATTTACATGTGTTAAATACTAAATTACTAAAGGAAGTTTGCAATATGGACACTCACATTTCCTCATTCATAATTTATTTTTTTCTGAAAATATTTTTTTGTATTTTTGATAATATGATCATAAAACTTTCTAGAACACTTAGGAATGTGTTATAGTTAATTGATAAACTAAACTTCATGTTTGTTTTGTCTTTATTTGCTTAAATGAAATTACTTTGCCTTTATAGCCAGCTACCATGATTTCATTATAATGCTATGAAAATAGTAATTTTTTTCCTTTAAAAAAAGATAATATATAGTTTTCTAATTTAATAGCAGAGTGAGACATAGTCAGGTCATTCCCATTGTATTTTTTCTTTATTGTTTACCTTGAAGTCCTTTGATGACTGTAATCTCATTTTTTCATGCATATGGATAGCTATACAGTATATAGCAGTCAGGCAGAGGTGGTCCAGTCTTGCTAAGGAATGTGTGACCACATATATGCAGGAGGAGATGACGAGAACTCAAGTGCTTGGGGCTCCAAGGCAGAGGGCTTTCCTTGCAAATAAAATAATTCAACTACCTGCTCTGTTGGAGCTTGTGTTCTACTGAGAGATCAGATGTGAGAATCTCTGTTAAATACTGTCTGTATTTAACAGACAGTCTGTACAGTGCCTGTACAGGACACAGGAAACAAGTGGTAAGTTAGAGAACAGGCATCTATTTTAGCTTAGAGGGTTGAAGCAGTGACTCAGCTTAGTGAGTCTCGGCATCCATTTTTATAGCGGTAGCTTCTTAGTAATTCAACTATGGTGTAAAATGTTTTAAAATTTTAGTATACTGCTTTTTTATGCTATTGTAAGATTATGGCTGAGAAATTGAATTTCCTAAATGCTGTTGACATTTTTTTCATAAAGCTGAACTGTTGCCTAATATATTTCAAAATAGCAATAAAATAATATAAAGCATTCTCTGTTTTTAGGAATGGTGGAAAGCAGCAGACATAATTGGAGTGGCTTGGATAAACAAACTGATATTCAGAACTTAAACGAAGAGAGGATTTTAGCATTACAGCTTTGTGGGTGGGTAAAGAAAGGAACGGATGTAGATGTGGGACCATTTTTGAACTCTCTTGTGCAAGAAGGAGAATGGGAAAGAGCTGCTGCAGTGGCTTTGTTCAACTTGGATATTCGGCGAGCAATCCAAATCCTGAATGAAGGGGCATCTTCAGAAAAAGGTATTAGGTTATGTTCTGAGAACTGGCAGTTCATAGAATCTGCTAAAGAAAGGATGTGGATAGTTTTTAGTTACCTAGCCAATATCCTATATACATTTTTATTGAAAGAGAAAGTGTATGGTGCTAAGCAGTAAATATTAGACAGTTCCATTTATATATGCCTCAGGATAGATTAATAAAAACAAAATGTTCTGGGCTGGAGAGATGGCTCAGAGGTTAAGAGCATTGCCTGTTCTTCCAAAGGTCCTGAGTTCAATTCCCAGCAACCACATGGTGGCTCACAGCCATCTGTTATGAGGTCTGGTGCTCTCTTCTGGCCTACAGACATATACACAGACAGAATATTGTATACATAATAAATAAATAAATATTTAAAACAAACAAACAAACAAAAAAACCCCAAAATGTTCTTAAATGATGTTTTAATAATAATATGTTTCCCCACATGTATTTCTTATTTTGTTTTAAAGAGAATCATATACATTGAGGAATGTCTGTTGGAACTGCTTTTGTTTGTAAGCAATATTTTAGTATATAGTTTCTCTTTTGGTAGGACACTAGATGATATTTTTGTTTTGACCAGTATAGAATCTTATGAAAAGCATATTGTGATCTGGAAAATGTTTCTACTTGAGTTTGATTGAAACATATGTCCTGTGTAGCCTTAAAAGGAAGGGAGGGAGGGAAGGAGGGAAGGAGGGGGAGAGAAATGGGAGAGAGAGAGAGGATAAAGTTCGATTTGCCAGAGAGAGAGAGGATAAAGTTCAGTTTGCTAGAGGACTCTCTAGAGAAACAAATCAGTCAAAAACCAAGAATTACTACCCTACTGCTGCCTCCCCCCGCCCCCACTTTTCTTGAGACAGGGTTTTTCTGTGTAGCCCCGGCTGTCTTGGAACGTGCCCTATAGACCAGGCTGGTCTTAAACTGAGAGATCTGCCTGCCTCTGCCTTTTGAGTGCTGGGATTAAAGGCGTGTACCACCTCATGCCCCACCACTGCATGACAAGTTTTGTTTTTTGTTTATTATTGTTATTAGGTATAGTTCACTTAAATTCTTAAGGTATATATAGCTAATTATCTTTAACGCACATAGACAATTATTTCTGAGTTTCAAAGTAATGAATTCTTACTTACTCTGGCCAACCTTTAATGCATTATAGTTCAGTTATACCATAAAAAATGCCATTGACTGTAATATATTTATTTTCATTCTAAAAGTTAAAAAAGTTAGATCTTTAGCTTGAGCATCGTTACCTTTACTTCAGAGAAAGCCTTCTGCACTTGAAGTGTGAGAGGTGTGTAGTGCCATTTAAAAAAGGACACATGTGAGACTCTGGGTTCAATATGTAGCGCTAATGAGTTCTTCCTCCCCAAAAGGACTCTATTTCTAACTTAATTTTGCTACAACCAGAAAACATAGTTTTCTATTATATGTACCTGGAAAATTTGCTATTCCTATGCTTTTATTTTAAAAGACTTAAAACTTAATAATAGAGTAGGCAAAAGAATGAAGCACCAAGTATTTTGGAAAGCATTTTTGTAAAAGTGAGTAATGAAGCTACTAAGAACAGAAAGTGGGGGGAAGGTACTTTTAATTGGCAGAGGAAGAAGGGTTAGAGTCAAGGGCTGTCTGAAAGGTAGAAAACGCTTAAGAGAAAAGACAAAGGGAGATTGTAGCTTTCACATTTGGCCATGCAGAACTGAAGAGTAGGTTGGCAGCTTGCTAGCAGCCTGTACACCACAGAACATAAACAAAACAGTTTATAAAAATTAGTGGTAATGGATGCTTTGTTGTAAGTATGTCAAAGTACAGTTGTATGATAATTCTGATAGCTCATTTTGGCCTAGAAATTGTTCAAAGTATAGTATAGTAAAAATACTGAAACACTTGTTTTCTCCATTTGATACTTGGTATATCAGTATATATATTATATAATTAGAAATAGGAAAATAAAACTTTGAAAATTGTAATAGTGGTGTATAGTACTCTGAGATAGCATAGATGACTTTACTGATAAGGGTGGCAGTGATTTTGGTAAGATGGTCTCACTTGTCTCCATTTAGGTACCAAATAATAATATAATATATAGGAAACTACTGAACAAAGAGCTTGGAAGTTAAGTGTTGTACTTCCTGCTGTGGAAGTAGCTCAGTGGGAACGCATTCCAGTGGGATTCTGAATTCAGTGTCCAGTACTGCAGAAAAAAATAATTATTATGCACAGGATTACAAGTGTGTACATGAATTGTTTTTTTCAAAGAAGTATTTTTTATTGATATTTATTGAACTCTACATTTTTCTCTGCTCCCCTCCCTGCCTCTCCCCTCCCCACTTCAACCTTCCCACAAGATCTCCATGCTCCCAATTTACTCAGGAGATCTTGTCTTTTTCTACTTTCTACTTCCCATGTAGATTAGATCAATGTAAGTCTCTCTTAGTGTCCTCATTGTTGTCTAAGATCTCTGGGATTGTGGTTTGTAGGCTGGCTTTATTTGCTTTATGTTTAAAAACCACCTATGAGTGAGTATGTGTTATAAATATCTTTCTGTGTCTGGGTTACCTCACTCAAAATAATGTTTTCTGGCTCCATCCATTTGCCTGCAAAATTCAAGGTGTTGTTATTTTTTTGGGCTGTGTAGTACTCCATTGTGTAAATGTACCACATTTTCTTTATCCATTCTTTGGTCGAGGGGCGTTTAGGTTGTTTCTAGGTTCTGGCTATGACAAACAAAACTGCTATGAACATAGTTGAGCACACGTCCTTGTGGCACCATTGAGTGTCCTTTGGACATATACCCAAAAGTGGCATTACTGGGTCTTGAGGAAGTTAGTTTCCTAATGTTCTGAGAAATCGCCACACTGATATCCAAAGGAGTTGTACCAGCTTGCATTCCCACCAGCAATGCAGAAGTGTTCCCTTTACCCCACAATCTCTCCAGCATAAGTTGTCATCAGTGTTTTTGATCTTGGCCATTCTTAAAGGTGTAAGATGGAATTTCAGAGTTGTTTTGATTTGCATTTCTCTGATGACTAAGGATGTTGAGCATTTCCTTAAGTGTCTTTCAGCCATTTTAGATTCCTCTGTTGAGAGTTCTCTGTTTAGGTCTGTCCTCCATTTTTTTTTTTTTTAAATTGGATTATGTGTTCTTTTGGTGTTCAATTTCTTGAGTTCTTTGTATATTTTGGAGATCAGACCTCTGTCTTATGTGGGGTTAGTGAAGATCTTTTCCCATTCTGTAGGCTGTTGTTTTGTCTTGTTGACTGTGTCCTTTGCTTTACAGAAGCTTTTCAGATTCAGGAGGTCCCATTTATTAATTGTTTCTCTAAGTGTCTGTGCTGCTGGGGTTATATTTAGGAAGTGGTTTCCTGTGCCAATGCATTCAAGTGTACTTCCCACTTTCTCTTCTATAAGGTTCAGTGTGGTTGGCTTTATGTTGAGGTCTTTGATCCATTTGGACTTGAGTTTTGTGCATGGTGATAGATATTGGTCTATTTTCATTCTTCTACGTGTTGATATCCAGTTATGCCAGCATCATTTGTTAAATATGATTTCTCTTTTTCATTTGATTTTTTTTTTTGCTTCCTTGTCAAAAATCATGTGTTCAAAGATGTATATATTGATATCTGGGTCTTCTATTCAGTTCCATTGGTCCTCCTGTCTGTTCTTATGCCAATACCAGGCTGTTTTCAGTACTGTAGCTCTGTAGTAGAGTTTTAAGTCAGGGATTGTGATGCCTACAGAAGTTCTTTTATTGTACAGAAGTATTTTTGGCTATCCTGGGTTTTTTGCTTTTCCGTATGAAGCTGAGTATCGTTCTTTCAAGGTCTTTGAAGAATTTTGGTGGGATTTTGATAGGCATTGTGTTGAATCTGTCATGAATTGTTTTTTAAGAATGGATTTTTTTCTTTGTACTCTACCAAATCTAACAGTCTTAATTTTTTTCTTATTTAAGTGGGCTTCTTTTAGGATAAAATTCACCATCTGATTACTGTGTCGAGATTTAACATCTGTGGGGAAAGAGGTTATTAGTTTCTGATTGCTTTGATTAGCTGCACATTTTTAACCTACAGGAGATCTGAATCTCAATGTGGTAGCAATGGCTTTATCAGGGTATACGGATGAGAAGAACTCTCTTTGGAGAGAGATGTGCAGCACACTACGATTGCAGCTCAACAACCCCTATCTCTGTGTCATGTTTGCATTTCTGACCAGCGAAGCAGGAGCTTATGATGGAGTTTTGGTAAGCTGTTTTCATTCCCCAGATCGTCCTTTGAGTTATAACTGGTTTGCTTTTTGTAGTTTTGATAATACAGACTTTATCTACAGAACCAAAATTATTTATTTCATCCTATACTGAAGAACTGAGCTCTAGAAATGTACAGCTATAAACGTATACATGTATTTGCTGTTTAAATAGAATGACTATGTTTGTGTGTACTCGTATGTGTATTGATAACTGTGATCAGTCAGTCAGTTTTGGCGAAGGTGTCCATCTAAATTAATGTTGGTCATTTTAGATGAGTTATATAGTCACACTACTTATAAAACACTTGATTTAATTTAGTATTTCAGTTATTTTAGTCGCTTGTGTAACCACGTGATTTCTTCCTTGTCATGAAGTGAGGTTTCCTTACTCATTTTGGTTGTTGAGTAACAAGCTTCACATCAAAACCTCTTTCCTTTGTACTGTCTGTCTTCTTTCTAGCAATGTAAAGAACTTTCTCTACTCAAATGTGTTCCTCTGTTTCCCATTAGAGCATTTCTTATAAAATATGCATTGCTTCATAATTTTCAGTCTGTAAGGTTTATAAAAACGTGTGTCTTATTGAGCTATTGTACTGAAAATTTAAGTATAGTGTTCATTTTGACAGTGTCCAGTTTATTTTGTTCATTGTTTTAATAAATTTCTAGTGAACCTGTCTGACCTTCAAATTAATATCAAGAAATGTTTATTTATGACTGTTATTACTACATTTGCTAAACAGGAGATTTTAAAGTCTTGTCTTTGAGCTGACAGGATACTTAAGCAAGTGCTAGAGCCTAGACAAAGAAATGAACCAATTGCTCACTGTTTAAACATTGCATTGTGTATTTCCATTTGTTACCTGTAGTAAAATCCCTTCTCTTCCACCAAAAGGGAGAACTGATGAGGAAGTTCATGCATCCCAGCTATTTTAATAATGTATTTAATTTAATCAGAAAAGTCTTCTTTGGCAATTGGTGACTCTTCCAATATCTGAACATATATGAAAATACACACATATTTTCTAATACATATGAAAATAAACTTACATATTAGGTGCATATTTAGTCCCTGTAAAAACTGAAAAGTTATGGTGCGTACAATTGTTTGTTTTTTCAGTATGAAAACAAAGTTGCAGTACGTGACAGAGTGGCATTTGCTTGTAAATTCCTTGGTGATGCTCAGGTGAGAACCAATTCAGTTCTATATTTGAGGTAATTAATGTTTATTATGAATTATTTTAACAAACTAATCTTTACATGTAATTATATGCCTGAAAACTTATACATAAAATCTAAAAAGGTAATTATTACATTGAACTTATAAATATGCACGTAATAACTAAATTTGTTTTAGAATGTTGACTTGATGTTTTAGTTTAATTTTTCCTTTAGAAGACTTAGCAGATAGAAATTTTAAACTCAGGTTTTAGTAATGCTGTATGCAAATCATTTCAGTACCTAAACACTTATTCTGCCAAATTCTATTCTGCCAAACCACTGGCTGAAACAGCTTTATTCATTAAGCAATAAAAGCAACACATATACCAGCTCACACCAATGACTAGCAGTACTGTTATAATGACAGAAGTTAGGGAAATGAGGAGGAATGGTGGCTGGAGTTTAGAATAGGATGAAATTAGACCATGTAAAGGAAATAGTTTTTATTGATGACTTTCAACGTGTGATTTCAATTCTACGATTCTGTTACATAGTACCGTGAGAGGTAAGGTTTTGCTGAAAAGGTGACACTTCTCTTAGAGTTAGCCGTCTATAAGCATAGGAGATGTCAGTTTTGAAGATGAGTGTGGGCACTGCAGAGATAGCATAGCTCAAGGAACTGAGTTGAATTCCCTAGAACCTGTGGAAATACCTGGGTGTTATCTTACAATCCCAGGGTTGGGTGGCAGAGACAGGAGGGTCCCTGGGGCTTACTGCACTGTCATCCCACCAAATCAGCAAACTCCAGCTTCAGTGAGAGCCCTATATTAAATTCAATATGGAAAGCTATTGAGAAAGACATCTGATGTCAATCTCTGGCCTCCACACATGCCCTTCCTTCCGCACATCGCACAAAAAGATAAAGTGATTGTGAAAATTGTAATGGAACTTGAAATAGATATAGACTTCCTAGTGCATATCTAGATTTGTAAGAATTTCTGTCTTAGAATCTTTTTCATCAAGAATAAAATTGTTCTAAATCAAATGTGTAGTGAAACAGATTGTATTAAAAAAGTAACTTTGAATTTTTCAGTTAAATAAATACATTGAAAAGCTGACCAATGAGATGAAAGAGGCTGGCAATTTGGAAGGAATCTTGCTTACAGGCCTCACTAAAGATGGAGTGGACTTGATGGAGAGCTACGTGGATAGAACTGGAGATGTCCAGACAGCAAGCTACTGCATGTTACAGGTTAGTGCAATCTGACACTGCTCTTGAAAACAAAATGCCAAGCCATATTCTCCATGTTGTGTATCTCAGGTGAAGCACACAAGCTTTTTTCTTCGCTTTGGGGTTTTAGTTCTCTTGAGGACTTGTGTTGTCTCTAATGATCTTAATCTCATCAGCTTATCCAGGTCTTTCTTTCAGTCTGAGAAATCCCGGTCTTGACTACATCTGAGTTCATATAACGCTCAGATGGAAGCAGAGCCTCAGGTCAGAGTCCAACCCGTCTTCCATAAAGGACTCCCTCTGCTATTCAGAACTGTGGTTTCCTTTCATCTGACAAGCAGAAGAGAAGTTATGCTTTAGCTCTTATACTCAGTGCCCTTTTTATTAACAACAAGGTAGTTTGAATAACTAGTTTATCAACATTTTTTTCATTGCTTTAACAGTCTAGTGGTTAAACCAGATTCCAGGAAAAAGTTGCTTTCTACTTTACTTTTGTGGGAAACATGAATTCTGTGTCTCTACCATGTCCAGTAACCCTCCAGCAGTCTTAACCTTTTGTGGCAGGAGCACCTCTCTCTTTTAGCCTGCTTTACCTTGGTAAACAAATCAAAATGTGCTTACTGCTTCCCTTCTCTATGCTCTTCTGTGAGCTTGCCAAATGTGGGTTCAAAATGCAGAGTCAGCTTATATAAAATATCAAGCCACCACCCACGTGAGAACAGGTATTCTGTCGTTCAACTTATCCCACTGGAATGAGATTTATTTTTTATTTTTTTTAATCTTTTAATGAACTACTAATATATGACCACAGAGTACAGATGGGTAGGTGATAGCACAATTGTAAAATGTTAAAATTCAAACAGTAGGTACGCAATGTGACCTTTAAAAAGTCTAGTCTGGTAACTGCCGCTCGTTTGTTGAGATGTTTCTTCTGTGGCCAAGATTAACTCTGCCGTCATGCTGGTTTCATTTCATTTGTTCTCTTTCCTTTTGTTCCTTTGGTTTTTCCTTCCTTATTGTGTTCCAATGTCTTTCCCCTTATGTCTCCTATTGGCTTTTACCTATTCCCTTCTCACTGTCTTATTGTTAAACCTGGTGCTTTGGGTCTCAATGTATCCTGAGCTCATGCTGCATTTCACAACTGACATGTCATAGCATCCTTTCTTTCCTACCTCACATCTAGCACTGGGTTTTTCTTAAACTTTTCATTTTATAAGTATTATGACAGTGTAATTTCATTTATGCAATTTTTCCTTTGTCCACTGATCACATATTTTCTATGTATATTATAAGCTTCAACTTACAGGGTTGTTTTTGCTTTAGATAGTAATTTGTCTGTTCTATAAATTATAAGAAAGGAATTACAGACCTTTTATTTGCTTATTTATTACTGTTCGTAGTGTCTGTTCCTCCTGTGGATCTGAGTTTAATCTTGTTTCCTCACCTTGTTTTTTCTCTATCAATAGAGGTGATGGCCTCAGTTTACATTTAACAGAAGCGTTCAGTTCATCTTGGTTCTTCTTGCAGCACTTTAAAGAAACGCTTTCCATCTGGCCTCCTCTGATTCTGATGAGAAATTAGCAGTTCCCCTTGCTTTCCTGTATGTGTTGTTTCATGTTTCCATGGATTTCTTTCAAGAAGTCCTCTTTCTCTTTGATTTTTCAGAACAAAAAGAAAATGAGACTGATGAGCCTACTTATATTCTTTGTATTATGTGTATTGATTATCAGTTAACATTTTTCATCAGATTTGGGATGTTTAGGTATATTATTTCTGATTCTTTATCTCTTCTGCGTTTCTTATTCTCCTTTTTTTTTTTGCCTTGCTATGCATATAGTAAAGTTCTAGTGTTTAGAGCCTGGGGTTTCTGTTCATTTTCTACTTCCTTTTTATTATTTATCTCCTCTTCTTCAATTGGACAATTTTTTTTTTCTTTTCTCTTTTTGTTTTGAGACAGATTCTCATTGTGTAGGTCTTGCTGGCCTGGAATTCATTTGGTAGGTCAAAGCTGGGATCCTCCTATGTCTATCTCTGTGAAGTGGGTTTAAAGGTGTGGTATGCTTCCACACCCAGCTTCAGTTGGACAATTAACGTTGGTTTGTTTATGTGTTCTGTCACTGCCCTTGGCCATTAAATTTGTCAGGAAATTTTTTCTTCCTATCTCCAAGTATATATATTTATATATTTTATTTATGGTGAAAAGGTACATGTTTAGAATTATCTAGCTGGACTCAGTTTAGATGAACCCAGTTTTGTTGGCAACATTCAGAGCATCATAGTCAGGAGCCAGCTAAACATAGGCCTTCTGAGGGCGTTGACTTTGGCCACATCAGTGTCAGTTACTTCACTGCCTGTTTGATCTGATGCTTGTTGGCCTTGACATCCACATGAACACTTATGTGTTGTTGTCCTCTGTCTTCTTCATGGCTGACTCAGTGGTCGGGGTAATTAGATGATGGCATATAGTGGTCACGCTTGTTTGTCTTAGGCATGCTCTTTTGAGGGTTTTTGGGCTGCAACAGGGGCCACACAGGATCCTGGGCTGCAAGAAGGTGGGTGATGTGCAGATCTTCTTGTGGCTGTGGATGCCTTTTAGTATTGTCTTCTTTGCTTTCAAGGCCTTCGCTTTGACTTTGGCTTTGGGAGGGACAGGAGCTTCCTTCTTCACTTTCAGTGCTATCCTCCATGAGTATTTTTAAAAATAAACTTTACTTTAGTTTACATTCCGTATTTACTCACTAGTTAAAAGGATTGGTTTTCATTAGTCTTTAATAAGTGTTTTTCCTTGAGTATTTTTCTGTAGCACAAATTCTAATTGTTCTTAATAAAAACCTGGGGTCAGGTGTTAGGAGGTGAAAGCTGAAGGATCAAGAAGCAGTGTGGCAGCCACTAGAGAGACCTTTTACCTCTACCAGAGCACAGACTGAAGGGGTGATCCTGTCCTCAGACTGTCTTCACCAAACCTCAGACTACAGTGAGCTCCTTTCTTTTCCCGCCTTATGTTCCTCTCTCCACCCAGCCATGTCACTCTTGTCTCCACCTCCCTAGTGCTGGGATTAAAGGCATGGTATCCCAAGTGCTGGGATTACCTTTGTGTGAGCTCTGTTTCTCTGTTAGACAGATTCAATCTTGTGTATCCCAGGGTAGCCTTGAACTAACAGAGATCTCTTTGCCTTTGTCTCCCAAATCCTGGGATTAAAGGTGTGATCCATCACTTCCTGGCCTCTAATGGCTTAGCCCTGCACTCTGATCTTCAGGCAAGCTTTATATGTTAAAACATAAACAAAATTTCACTATATTTTTCTTTGAATGTGCTACGTACTACATTACAGCTTTCTTCTGCCAACTCTAATACTCATACTTGTTTTAGAGATATTCTTACTGGTCAGAAATTGATGTTCTGAATGGGAAGAACTTTAAACTTAGGAAAGCCAATTCTTGCTTCTCACTAATGCTTATGTGCATTTGATATTTAGCTTATGTAAAAGCACCATTTCATTATTAGATCTAAAGGACCAGGCTCAGTGTTAGTTTAAATGTTGTTAAGTAGTTTTGGTGTGTAATTTGGATATATTATAAGCAGAGTTTTTGGATCCATAAATTTTAATAGTTAAGATAAAGGGTTTTCTTATCACCATTGACTGCCACCTGCTCCTTAAACTACAAAGGTACTTCCTAGTCAAGTATGTTATATAGGTGCATGTTTGCATCACTAGTGAAGTCTAGTGTAAGGTAGATTACTGAGGCTTTCCTCATTAGGAGCCAGTTTCGGGGAAAAGGCCATCTCTCCTGAGTTATTCATGTTGTACCCCGAATCGTCTGATTTAAACTAGGACATTTGAAATTTATGTTTTCTTTTTAGGGTTCACCTTTAGATGTTCTTAAAGATGAAAGGGTTCAATATTGGATTGAGAATTACAGAAACTTATTAGATGCTTGGAGGTTTTGGCATAAACGAGCTGAATTTGATATACATAGGAGTAAATTGGATCCCAGTTCCAAGCCGTTAGCACAGGTAAGTAGCGTATTCTACAGATAATCAGATGTTAACATTCTTTTATTTATATTGAGTTTCTCTTAATGTCTTTGTCTATTTCAAAACTTTTTTCCTGTTTTATTTTAGTTTTTTAATTTCCTAACAATTATCTTGTACAGCTAAACTTTGAGGTAAAACAAAGGACAGTAGGCCCAGATGACCTTAGGAAAGTCTAATTGCTGGGACTGTCTGAAATTTAGTGTCTGCCAAATTCTGTCAGACTCACGTGTTAGTAATCCCATGTGCATATTGTTTTTATGTATTTATATAGAGTAGAATAGGATTTTAAAAAATAGAATAAGTATAAACATATGTCTATACATGACATTTTTAATATGAGATCTATTATCACAAGGTATGTGATCTGATATCATACTATTACTTCAGATGTTAAATATTTGGTTATCTTCACCCTGAGCACTGGATGGTGCTATTTTATTTTTAAAGGAAGTTGAAAATTATTCTGGCAGCTGAAGTAGGTATTTTAGTAAGATAGTATTGTGCCATATGTTACTAATCTGGAAGAGCTCTAGGGCTTTCATAAAACCTAGCAAGCACCTTCTAACGGTTATTTTTACCATCTCACCAGCTCTGTTGTGAACTTTTAATGTCCTACTGCAGGAGCCTTAGTTCCTTTTCGTCTTACAGAAGGTGGTGGTGGAGAATGGTTTTGTTTTGTTTTGTTTTTTGTCTTTGAAATATGGAACCTGGGACCTTGTATGTACTTAGTAGTTGGTCTTATACTGAGCTATATCTGCAGAGCCCCCTTCTTTCCTTCCTTCCCTCCCTCCCTCCCTCCCTCCCTCCCTCCCTCCCTCCCTCCCTCCCTCCCTCTTTTCCTC